TGGAATGGTAGCCAAGTCAACACAAATGTTCCTGTTATCAAAAACAATGTCTTAGACAGCCTCGTCTCTCTCCTCGCCCTTACTCCGTTATGTATGCGGGAAGTCTGCTTACGCCAGATGACGCAGTAAGAAGTGCACGTTATTAGCAAAGGAGTCGACAAACTGATAATAATAACTGATAAAAACTGGTGATTTGTCACGATTGAATAGTGCTGAAACACTCGAACTGAAGTCACCGCGAGGGAGAGGATCCATGGCGTTGCTATGGCAATGACGTAGCTGTGTGAGGATAACTGCCGATGACGAAGTGGCCGACTGATAGCAAAGAGTCTTTCAAAAGAAATAACAGTCAATGTGAAAATGGAGGAGAGACCAGTAAACATATCGACACTATCAAGAGCGACTAGTGGCACGTGTTTGCCTTCAGAGATGACTGTAATCATATAAATCGGTACTGCAAATAATCCAACTAAGAGATCAGCTATTGCCAAATCGATTAACAGGTAAAGAGAACGTTTGCGAAACCTTCGCTTGACAAGAACTGCGATTGACAAGGAGTTACTAATAATGATTACAAATGCTATCACTCCGAAACAAACACTCCAGAACCAGTTCCAGCTGTTGAAGTTCATGGTGAGAACACAACACAAGTAGAGAGAGCTGCAAAAAAAAAAGTACATAAATAAATAAATAAATAAATAAATAAATAAAATAAAAAGATAAATAAAAAAGAATACGATACAACGCAGGATTATTATTATTTTTTTGAAAAAAGGTGTACTTTATTAAAAAAAAAAAAAATAACGCGTTGTATCGGTCTCCAACGTATTCCAGAAGGATCACCGTCTGCGATTGCTTGCCTAAACATCATAATTACAGTCATAAAGTGAACATGGCGACGCCAGGGTGGTTTAAACTGAACACCAAACACTTCATATTGAATGAATGAATGAATGAATGAATGAATGAATGAATGAATTAATGAAAGACTTTATTTGTTAAAGGGTATCTACAATTGTAGCTTTAGAAAAACCAAGTGGGGGCACTATTTACACATTCAAAAAATCATGTTTGAATCACTTTCGGAGATATCAACTTAAAACGCCGGGACCACCGAGTTAATGAGAAACATCAGGTGTACTAGCTTTGGAACTTAAACTGCTTTTCAAACAATCTCCTCTTTACTGTTATTTTATAAACAAACAAACCCATCAATGTCTAGCGTCCAGTCTGTGAAGTGTTTTTTAAACACTAATATATATATATTTTCAATAATTACTCAAGCCCCTTCTACTTGAAACTGAATATAACGCCCAATCTCTTACAAAAGATTCTTGAATGCAAAACCATTTAAAGTACTTTCTTCCCATAAGATATAGTTGAATTCTTGTTTAACCGTATTAAAAATTTCATTTCAATGGGGAGATGTTTAAAAACTAATTTGAACAATAAAATGAAAATTAAGTAAGAAGGCAAATATCTCTTAGTGCCTGAAGGCGTGGTGTGAGTTTGAATATAATGCTAATAGCATCAAGCAAATCCACCTTTTCTACATGTGAATTAGTTAAAAGAGTTATTTTATTCAAAAGACCAACATAATGGATAAATGCGAGTGTCTGTACATGTTATTCGTTATCTTAATATATCTTCTTCTTTTCTTTTCTAAATGGCTAAACCTCACGCGCGACATATGTCGTGCTTTGACTGCCAAGCACCTTACGAAATAAAAAAACATTATATATAAAAATTTCTGTGAAATTTTCGATGTACAATTTCTTGTTGCTTTTACAACCTTGTTTTTTTGTGTAAGGATCATGACGTTTCGAAAGTGTTTCTGTTCGTAAAAATAAAACTGTTTCAAAATTATATTAATATGCCTCAGAGTTTACAGACTAGGCTTTTGTCGAATGCGCTCGCAAAATTGGCAGATTATACTCCTAGCACTGCTCAAATTGTTTTTGGAAATTATGCCCGGATTATGCTCGTTTCTCTAAATTATGCTCCTCGCATCAGAATTATGCTACTTGGTTTTTAAGCAAAATAAAGACAGAACTGGGCGAATGAAGACAAAACAAGGAATAACGCCGTTAGCATCCGTCGTTTTCTACATTTCTAAGCATTCTGGCTTGCTTGTCTATTAATTTCCGTTTAATAATAGTGAAATCCAAGATGGCGGATCCAAGATGGTCGGTCAAATGGCGTCATATGACGTCATAATAAACAAACATGATATTTCCTTGTAGAGCAAGCTCAGGGCTAAATTATGCGAAGAATTATGCTAACACAGTCGACAAGTCATCTGTCAGAAGAAAGCCATTTTCATTCATTATAAACGGTGTCTTGCGTACTCTCCTTATTCTAACCTTTCGAAACCTCGATTTTCGTTTAGTTCAATATATCACATGCCCCACTAGGGTATTCTCTTAAACAGAAACTAGAAGCGACAGAACAAGATGGCATATCCTAGGGTGATGTAAAATTAAATCCCGGCATTAGTGGCCGGCATGTTTTAACCAGCCTTATGGTTTACTTAAAAGCAAATCTAGGGGGAAAAAGTGTCCTTCGCTTTAGTTTTACTTTTGCCTTTGTGGTTCTTCCTTGATGTTCTTAAACGTCCGTACGTCTCTTCAAATTGCAGACACTTTTATTGCATCTGTTGTTAATAACCAGCAGCTTGTATTGTTTGGAGAAAACATATGCTTGTAAATATGTTTTCTTCCAACGTCACTAATATAATGCGGTAATCTCGTCTCAAAATCGCATTTAGTTTTATATCGCGATTTAACCATAATTTGAGAAAACTAAGCGAAAAAGACCGACACTAATTTTGATTCGGTTAAAACATAAATTCCTAGTACGTGCAAAGAATTGTTATGGGTATTGGCACGCCATGTTGTTTCCTATTTGTCGACGAATTGAGACAAATTTAACTTCATCAAAAACTGACTTTTCAAAAAGCGGTTTCGCCATCCCGCGTGAGCTATCTATATGGGTTATTGACCAAGTGTGAGGTCAAGATGGCTGGTATTGGCCAAGTTCGTTTTTTGTGAGTTTATGGACCGAGACGGAGTCGAGGTCCATAAACTCGCAAAAAAAGAACAAGGCCAATATCCAGCCATCTTGACCGAACAAGCTTGGT